CCAAGCCACCCCATAAAAAAAAATTGTTTTTGAAAGATATTTCAAATTGAAAAACAAATTTCATATTTTATGCCATCCCCATCCCTAACCCCCTTCCGCGACCCCGTCAATTTTTATTTATTTTTTTAAAAAATTGTTTTTGAAAAAAAAATTCTTGGGTCAGGTCCTGGGTTAAATCTCATGGTCGGGTTTTGGAACGGTCATCAGGGTCTTGTCCTAGTTTGAGTGTCGAGGTCGGTCCTAGGTCAAATTTCGGGATTTGTTTTAGGATTAGAAATTATTTTCCTAAAGAGTATTTTTCAGTCTCTAGCCAAAAATAGAAGATATTTTCTGAAAAATATTTTTCATTCACTAACTAAACATTAAAAAATATTTTCTACTCACCAACCAAACATGAGAAAATGAGTTAGAAATCTACTTGTTTTTCAAGAAATATTTTCTAGGAAAACATTTTCCTTCATACCAAACACGCCCTTAATGTATGATGTTTTCCTCAGGCAAAACTAGACAAATAATTTTCAGTGTTGTGATACTTTAATTTTCTTTTCATAGATTTTAGAAATATCGTTCAAAACAAGATCTTTTAAGTCATCTAGCGGTGTTTTAAATAATTATAAAAAGAGAAAACGCAAGCTTCGTGTTTAAACTATAGCTTGAGTTTTCTTGATTTGTTAACTTTGTTGGTTTATGCAAAAACGTTGTTGGAAATTTTCCTCCTCACCTTTTTCGTTGTTTACCTTCTTTTCATATTTTCTCATTTTCATTGAAATTGGATGAGTTATATTTCGTTGAGCTTGTATAGTCTTATCTTTAATAATTTGGATTGTTTTGATTTTTGGGGTCTTGTTGAGTTTGAATCTTCTTCTTCTTCTTTTTAAAGGCAAGTGAAGACAATGTAGGTCTTGATTTTTGAAGATTTATGTTTGAATTTAACTATTGAAAATGATGGACCTGCTTTAGAAACTTGTATATCAAACTTGAAATCATTTTGATGAGTTGATTTGAATCAATTTTAAATAAAAATGTATTGATTAATTTCTAGAACATATTATGGTGATCACAAATTTTTGCCACGTATCGTGATGGATCATTAGAATTTGTGATAGATATTAAGATTTTCGGTCAAAATGTTAAAAAATAAATAAATTAAAGTGTGATTATTTATTAAAAATTGATCAAAAATCCTAATGAATCGCCATATTTTCTTGTTAAAGCATATTAAATAAAAAATTACGATGATTAAAGTATCATAAGTTATTTTGATATCCGTTAAGAGCGTGCTTTCAATTTTTATTTGTCGATGTAAGTGCATGTCCCGTGACTTCTCTCAACGGAATTCAAATTTAAACAGTATAATTGAAAATTTACATTTGTTCAAATCACCCTAATTTGTATAACAAAGGTAGTTGAAAATTTAAAGATATAAAACTTGAGAAAGTAAATAAAGGAAAAACTACATAATTAGACATACTTCACTATCATATATACTATTATTACCTATACTTGCATAATATTACGTATCTTACCACTAATTAACATTTTTTTTAATCATATATTGAAAAAGATACACTTAAATACATGCATTGTTTTTTTACCAAATACACTAAAATAGGGAGAGAGGTGAGTGAGATTCGTTATGTATATCAGATATATGAGAGTCACATTAGATACACACTAGATACATATATATGTTGTATCTGATGTGATTCACATGTATCTAGGATACCAGATGCACATTAGAGTGGCGAGCGGGATTTGTTATGTACTACAAATACATGCGAATCCACTTGGATATAATAATGTATCTAGAACAAATTACACTTAAATTGAGTATAATGTATCTATAGCAAATTACATCTAATTTGGACCTCGTGTATCCCTAGTTACATATATCTGAACGTATCTAGACACACTAAAATCTAATAAGATATATAATATTACAAACTATATTATATCTATAGCTCATAAATTAACAGTGAAATTTATTTAAGTTATTCCCAAATAAACTCATAAAAATTCCTATAGTACTATCATGAGTTTTATTTTTATTTCTGTGTAAAGAAATATTATACGTACTTCG